ACCTGGAAGTAGGCTGCAGTGGGCTCTGTCTGAGACTGGTCCACCCACCCTCAAACATAGTTCACAAGGGCTCACGAGCCACCTAACCTCTTTGGTACTTTCTGATGAGTTCCAGCATAGCAAGCCAGCTCACTTGCAATTGTGGAAGTCTTGTGGCCTTTCAACTGATGGAAACAGCCTTTCTTAAACATTTCCAAGTGAAAAGCATGGCCAGAATGTTAGACAATGTGTTGCTGTAGCTACTTGAGAGAAAAATTCAAAATCTGAAATTATGTGGAGGTTAAGGTTTTATTGTTTTGATTTTCTAAATATTTTGAGAAGCAATTAAAAATTGTCACTATTCATGTCTCTCTTCTATGATGAAAAAGCCTATTTTATATACTTGTAGAAGAAAAAAGTTCTTCCAGTGGCCAACCTTCTGAGATCCAGATGATCAGATAATCTGAGCTCTGAACTGACTTTGATTCTTTTGTGATGGAATTCCTAGCTGTGGGCGACTTTGAGTTTTGAAGTAAATAACAAATAAGACCTCTCTAGTTCCTGGTTAGCCTCACTTGCATCTTAACCACTGTTGCAGAGTTCAGCTGTTTTCATAGTTCATCCAGAGGCATGCAGTAGTTCAGAGAAATAAGGTGAAAAGTAAAAAAAGTATCATGTTAATTAATGTGTGTATAGTGTGCAATGTGAGGGACACAGTGCTGATGGAAGTGAAACATTTTACTTAGATCTAAGTGAAGTAATCTCAGTTTGTGCTCTGGTCTTACCAACTGTTTAAAGATTAAATGCAGTACAGTGTAGCACAAACCAGGGTATCTGTCAAACTAGCTGCAATGTGTGGTGTGATGAACAAAACAGGAAGCTTCTAAGGATAAGTAGTTTCTTGATCTTTTTCAGTAGTAGCTGAAATTACCTCTTAATTTTTTTCAGTGGTAGTTTACATTACAAAGTAGAATTCCTCTAGGGGGCATTCTCAAATAATCCAGGTCTGTAATGGGTAACAGCTAAAAGAAAAGGTGAGGGAGGTCCATCCGAAGAGATGCTGCTCTCCATTCCATATTATTATGTGTACTATGTAAATTAGCCCTTTATTTCTGTCATTTCAGGAGCCCTTAGGACTGCACAAGTAGAGTCAAAAAAGTGCGAGACATTGCAGCAACAGAATGGATTAATGAGATTTATTTTAGTTCTTACTGAGGTTTACTGCAGGTCTGATTTCAGAAAATTGGAAGGTGAACTTCACTGGGTTTTTCTAGCTGCTTGTATCACGAATTCCTTCAAACAGTTCTAGGTGTAATAATGATTAATCCAAGTGAGGTCATGGGATTACTCGAGATTGTAAGTGGTTTCAGCACTGCTGGGAGCATGCTTTTAATGTGTAAGTGTGATATGCAGGTGGTGGTAGTCTCACCTTACACAGCACTGAGCACATTTAGGACCATACTCAGAAGAAATTTGTGGATGTCCTCCGGATCAATAGAGTTGAGTACCTCTCAAGTCACTGGAACAGAAGCTGGAGAGCTAGGGAGGGCATGGAGCAGGGAGCTAGGTGGAAGATCCTCATTAGACACAGTGATACGGGTAGAATTTGTTGACATAGGACAGGTAATATATGATGATGTATGACAGTTGTGATTTAGTCTGTAGTGAAAGGCATACTTGTGATGACAACATAATTTAGAATGATGTGATTGAGCTTAGGCAGCACCAGTCTAATCACAGGGGTTTTAGTGTACTTTTAGAACTGCTAGATGAACAGCACATGCTTTTCTGAATGCATGTAGTTCTTTTATATAAAAATGAGGAAAACTATTTATCTATAGATGATTTTTGAAATTGCTAGTTGCATTAACCAGGCAAAAGTTGTCTGCCTTGGTTAGAGTATGTGTTGTGCTTAAAGTAGTGGTTTTGAATAGTATAGTAATGAGTTTATGTTGTGAGCTCCCAGATTCTTCTTGGTCCTGCTAGAGACCAAAGAGACCTAAGGAAGATGTCTTTCAATATTTTAGTGCTCTCTTAAGGCTTTCATTGGGAATGATCCCATTATTTTGTAAACTTCTGCAATGCGGCAGGTTGCCATGGCTGTCAGTGAGAGTTAAGATTGCAGTTATCCTTTATAATAATGAGAACTTTAAAGATGACAGATGGATATGAGTTTCACCAAGTACTTGTACGTTGCTCTGGCTTTGTCTTTCTGGATCATGTTCACTTGTTTGGGTTGGTATCCAAATAACGTTTGCACATACCGTATGTCAGTGAAGAGTGTTGTTTTTCAGATACCCAACTTGGTTATGATGATTGTTATAGCATATGGAAGAAGTGCCCATAGGCGATGGTGAAGGGCTTTGCAGATGAAAACTTCATAGCTTCCTTGTATGGTAAAAACAGTATTCTGTTTCAGAGATGCTCATGACCAGGAAACTTCTACTTGTCAGCCATGATATTTGGGCCTTCCCTTGTTCCATTTCACAGTATTTCTTTCTGTCAAATTTGGTCTCAAGCTGTTTTCAAGTTATCGGTGGGGAGGCAACATGGAATGTTGAGTGTGAGAGGGGGATTTTTTTTCATTTCTGAAAATGGTTTGTCTGTTTTGATTGAGGACTTCTGTGATAAACATCCATATAAATCTAAAAGGAGAGTAATTGAAAAAGTGCATGTCAATGAATATGGAAAATAAATGAATGTAGTAAATACCTTCTCATTGTTTACAGGTGTCCTTAAGACACTGCAGTGCATTTTGCTGTGTCTGCATACAATTAATAGGCAGAAATAACATTGTAACATCATAAGCAAATATGATTGATGATACTTTAGAAAGGGAGATAAAGTGGTATTACCTAGCTTTTCTGCTGTATCACTTCTGCCTAGTTATTTTAACTGAGTCTTTCTTTTTCCAAATGCTGAAGCCACCTTATAGGCCTGTGAAGTAGAACATTGAGATGTGTGATACATCCATCTCTGCTGACTGATGAATTAATCACTTTTAAAGTTTAATCAGAAAGATTCAGCAGTATATTGTTTTCTAGAGAAGGTAAACATCAATTCTAATCATAATTCTTAATGTGTTTAAAACAATTATTCTTTATCATTAAAGTTAATAATATACACGTTAACCTCTGATGTAGTCTGAATCAATATTGCAGTTTGGGAGATGTGACCCCTGGACGGCTTCGTCTAAATATTGATTTCATTGTCATTTGTATAAGGTACAAAACAAATTATATGCCTTCCTAATATCATGAATGTAGCCCCATTGAGCTACTCAATTTATGGCTTCCTACAATGCATGACAAAACATTACGGAGTTATTGAAGGCAACAAATTGTGCAACAAATTGTGAAATGCAATTGTTTAGTGTGCCAGATTTCATTGTGGAAGACCAGCGCCAACACTCAATAACTTTCAAACACTTTGCTGTCCGAAGAAAGTCTAGAGACAAGAACGAGCCACTCTGGAGTATCCAACTCAGTTGTTAATTTCCATCCGACCAAGTTCCCTTGGGTTCTGGGAGCAGCAATTTATTCTACAGCTTTCTACTTATGTGTTTGTAGCCTTACATGAAAATAATCATACACCTGTTTTCTGTGCCAAGGGAAAAGGTTCTTCTCTTCAATTACTGGAGAAAATCAAAATAGGTTGGGGGGATAGCATCTCTCTGTCTTGGCCAGCATTTACAGTGGTTGTCATTACTGTCATAATTTGAAATATGAGTTAAATAATTTACTCCAGACTGTGATTTCTTCCCTTTATTGGCCTTCTATTGTAATGGTCTTCTCATTCATGATTCTGTAACTGCTTCTTCCCTCGTAGCTGTTCCTCAGATCTTCACAACACCTCTTCCCCTTCCAGGAGATTTCAGGGTTGCCCTGAAACTCAGGAGATACTAATCTTCCCTTCTTTTGCTTCCTCTCTCTGCAGAGAGCTCCTTTTTTTACACCACCCATCTGTTTTTAAGTATGAGATTCAGGCATCTACTTTCCTTCTTCTCCAAACCTTGGCCTCATGGATATCTGAGAAAAAGCTTAGTATAATTTTCATGGCTTCCCCCAAAACTCTCAGCGGGGATGACTTTTCGTGCTTTTTGCTTGGTATGAGCACTGCTCACCTGCAGTCATTGCTATAAGCTGCTTATTTCACATTTGGGGCACACACACAGAGACATGCATGCTTTTCCCGTTCATTATCTTTATTAGATTGAAAAAAATAAAAATCAATTTCCATACCCAATCTAGGATACTGGTTCCATTATCTACATACTGTATTTTCAAAGCAGCATCTTCATACTTTCTCCTGTGGTGGCTTTCATGCCGAGGGACCTTCTTGTAAGTATATGCAAAGCTACCTCGTTGTGCTTTAATGTATACAAAAATCTCAACCAGATTTGAGCTTCTGCTGTGCTGAGACTACAGCCTAGCATTCCAGCTGGTATCGTCTCATTGTTTAATTGTACTTGCCCACTTTCTCTGGTGTTAGGCTTTTATCTGAGACTGTCTTAAAGGCTTTTTGATTTTGGGGAGAGGATTTGTTCAGCATGAAACATGTAGGGCATAGTAATCTTTGGATAAGTATCGTAGGTGCTATGTTATTACAAATAATGTGGAATAATACATTTCCTACATATAAAAATGCTCTAATTATGTTTTCATTACAGACAATGTAGAATTGACACCATGAAAGTAAAGTTCTCCTAGCTGTCTCAGAAGGGTGCTTGGCACCTGTTAGGAACATGCTGGGTTTTCATCAGAAAGTCTGTATGGTGTATGGGGATTTTTTTCTTTTCTTTTTTTTTTTTTTTTAAAGACAAAAAAGATGTCCTTTTAGTAAGGAATGTTAATAGAATACAGAGGTGGGCAGCCTGTTATGGTCATCTCGAACATAATGCAGACCATAGTTTTTGCTGAATTAATTCCTGCAAGAATTACAATGCAGCTTAGGAAGAAAACTTAAAATGAAAACATAAAAATAAAATAACATAAAAAAGACAACCAAACTTTCTCTTACAGGTAAAAGTGACCCATTTTGTGTAGTTGAATTGAATAATGATAGACTGCTGACACATACCGTCTACAAGAACCTCAATCCAGAATGGAACAAAATCTTCACATTGTAAGTGTTTGGATTTTGTGAGTGTTTGGTGGGGGGATGAGTTGTTTTGAAGGGAATATATGTTTGAATCAAAAATAACTACTGCCGATTTTAAAGAAAGCAAGCAATGGCCTACTGATATTTGCAAACTAACCAGCTGAATAATTTTTTGAGGATTAAAAAAAAAAAAAAAAGAAGAGCTACCATTTTAAAGGTAAAAAAGAAAGGATTGTTTCTTGGAAACCACGTGTGAGTAGTGCTGAGCACTCCAGTTTCCTGCCAGCATCAGTGAGGGTTTCAAAGGCCACTGGGTTTGGCCCTAAACTTTTGAGTGGGAAAAAAGATACTATGATTATGACCTTCATTAAAATGTGGTGTTAACTTTAATAAGCATTAGGTAGCTTTATAAAGGGATATTTATAAATGCGTTCATACTTTCCTGAATTATGATCAGATACTTTCCATATGTTTTTGTTTGTTTTTTTCTGATTTACCAACTGCATTTCTCATAATACCATCTAGCACTAAACCAGCACAATGCAGCTACTGGGTAAAATGCAGTCTTAAACATTCAGTTTTCCGGGAACTGATGTGGTTGTTTGGGGGGGTTTTGTGTTTTTTGGTTTTGTTTGTTCGTTGATTTATTGGTTACTTTTTTATAAAATCCTGTTATTTTGAAGTAAAAGGCTCTGACAAAATAGAAAAAAGACTTCCACAAACAAAATGTTCCTGGTATCTGACTTGCTGAGTTGCCTTGTTTCCCTGCCTCCTTTTCTCTCTCTGGCTGCAATGTGACACCAGTTAGTAGAAAACTGATGAGTTGTAGGTTTCTCTGCTACTCAAATCAGCTCACAATCCACTGCAAAACCAGTATAATCTTTGTGTACAGTTACGTCACTTTATCATAAATAAAAAGGCTGTATTTTGGCCATGATCTGAAAACTCAGTCTGATTTTAATTTTCTCTCTCTCTTTTTTTTTTTTTAATTTCACTAGCTTTATCATTCTTTTATTTGACATCTCTAGCTTTTTTTGCCCTTCATTGAGCTCTCAGGAATGAACTGGGAACAAAAGAAAAAAATCTTACGACAGTTGTACTTTTTATTAGCTTATTAACATTGTCCTCACTTATGTATCCACAAAACCACGCTAAACCCTTCATTAATTTATTTTTAATTACCTGCTAATAGAGCAAATAACTAATCAACCTCTTCTGCACGACTGTTCTCTGCATAAGAAATTGCCTGGGTTTCTAGGGGACAAAAGACTAATCAAGTAGAAAAACTCAAAAGGCCTTCAAGGAGAGTTTTTACCTCTCTTCTGTGTATATTTGCATTGATCATTTTATTTATCCTCAGATTTGTTAATTAATTTTGGGCTAGAAATCCAGTTTCATCTGGAGGTGTAGATTTTACTGAAGTTAAACTACTTTGTTTGAATTTGTATTTCCTGGATCAGCCATTTGATCAAAGAAGAGTTCTTTCAAACAACTCTGTGTTGTTTTTCTTCTCTGAATAATGAATGTGAATTTTTCACTTGCAAGTTTACAATGTACAGTGACAGTTTTTGTGCATGGTGGTGGAGTGTTTAATAGCTCGCAGGCAAAAAAAACCAGTAGTAGCTGAAAAATGCATTTCATATTGCTTGTTCCTAATTTGTTGTAATGGCTGTTGTATATCTACAATTAAGCAAGGATTTCAGAATTAAAGAGCTTGTTGTCAGGGCTAGGATGTGCTTGTGTGGCTTGCAGTTATTTCTGTTGACATACCCATGGATTTCACAGTATTTGCAGTAAGAACTACTGCAAGGATAGCAGTGTTTAAGGTCTTTAAAGGCTCTTGGTCCTGTGCTCGCTGCTCTAAATCCCCACTGCTGCTCCATGCTGCGCTGGCTGTCCTTGCAGCTCACATAGCACAAACCCCAGGTAGGAGATTTAAAGCAGCATCCTTCTGAAAACGTCAACCCAGAAAGCCTCACAGAGAGCATGCACGACCACTGCAGCCCTTAGAAAGCATTTTGATTATATGGAGGGATGCTTCATGTGCTAAGTTCTGTTCTCTGCTCTGGCTTGGAAAAATAGATGGGTACATGTTTTTTGCTAACCTTTCACGGTTTTGTCCTTGGTACCTGCCAGTGTAGGTGACTTCTTCTCCCTTCTGTGTGTGCTTCTCCCTTTGTAGCAATATTAAAGACATCCACTCCGTGCTTGAAGTGACAGTTTATGACGAAGACCGTGATCGCAGTGCTGACTTTCTAGGCAAAGTTGCTATACCATTGCTGTCTGTAAGTTCCATTCACCTGACATACCACTCTGAATTTTTCCTGC